TGCGTGTATCCGCTGATCACCGAATACATGGGTTCGCGAGTCATTTATGTAAGTTTGACTCGTCTCGAGAATCGTTTTATCCGAATTTACGAGTGATCGACGATGATTAGGTTTCTTCAAAAAAAGACAAGAAGCTATTCAGCTATTCAAAGTTTACAAGCATAGAAGAAATATAGTGATTATTTATATAAAATTGAGTAAGATAAATAATCTTTTGCAGGCATTTTCGAGACATTGTTATAGAATCAAATAATATATTAAGTTTTAATATGTATATGTAAATGTGCGATTTAGACTATTTTAAATAATTAAATAAATAAGTGGTTCGCATAGCTATACGTAAGGTTTTCGTTTCAATAATGATCTCAATTCCTTATCATTGTTAGTCACAATGCTTGATTTGATTAAACCATTTTTAACTAAACAAAATTATATCTAGGTAAATCTTTATAAAATAAATTTATATGCATTTGAGATATCAATAAGGCTCTGCGCACAATCGAGGAAACAGAAATAAATATTAAATTTTGAAAATAAAAATTACGATAATAAAGATGAAACGCACAATGGACACGAGTAAATATAAAATATGACTACATGTCTATTCCCAATTTTTATTTTCAAAATTTAACATTCATTTCTGTTCCTAATATTTCCTTCAATTGCGTGCAGATTTTCAAAGTTTCAGGCGGGAAATTTCATCTCTCATGTCGAATGACCGAATTAATAAAAGGCGCGCTCGCGCGCGCACGTGTTTGACGTTCACAGATTATTTAAGAAAAGTGATAAGACACGTAATGACAGCGGTAAGAGAACGGCGCAGAATGACTCGCGGCAGACATTTGCCGTGACGTGACGCCATCAAGTCCTGGTCGGAATGGCAGGTTCGAATACCTGCCTGCCTGCTTGCCTGCCTGCTTGCCTGCCTGCCTGCCTGCCTGCCTGCCTGCCTGCCTGCGAGCAACACACGTACCGGCTGCTCCTCGCTCGTATCGATGTGTCTTCCGTTGTGTCGTGTGTGCACCGGGTGGCTCTTTAAAAGCCGATTCGCTTAGCCATTAAACCGGTCGCTTTTGTCAGCCTGCGTCGGCCCCAAGTCTGCAACCAGTCGCGTATAACGCACGCACACGCGGGCACATCGTCAGGTAACGCAACACATGCGGCCGAGTGTTACTCATTTCCACACACTAGGTGACGGATTAATCCCCGTCTAATTGAAAGCCGCCGCGATTAATCAATCATTTTGACCGAGGCTCGCGCGGTTATTAGCGGTTGATTAAGGCGCGCGACACGCGAATACCGTATTTCGAGGAATTCCGTTACCGTCGTCGGATGCGCGCTCACTCATGCGAAGGATTTACCGCGTTGGATTCCTGCGATCTCACTTTTTCCATCGCTCTGCGGACGACGCGATAGTTTTACGTCGTAATAGCTTTCGAGAGAATCGTCGATCAAAATGTCAATTTTTAATACGTCCTTCGTAGCAGTATATTCGATCTATTCAACAAACATGAACAAACGCCTCACGATCCGTATTAAATTGTCAAATTTAACAATCATTAACATGTTTGATATGATCGTGCAATGTAAATTAGATAAAAATATTAATTTTTTGATCAAATGTTTCCCTAAAAAGGACAAAGTTTTATCTATCGATTAGCAATGCGTTAATAAAAAATAAAATAAAAAAATATTTCAATTCGAATTTTCGAAGATTATTATCCAAGTTAAAATTCTGATACTATTTTGATATTCTTAAAGATAAATTTACACCTATTTAAATACTCTATAAATTAGGAAAAAACCTAATTTAATGATATTACACTCATTAATTTTTCAAATCTTTAATTCTAAAAATTGCATTTCTATGCTTCTCAAATTTGATGCTACTTAGATGTTCCACAATTAAAATCTATTTTGATATTACAATTATGTGTTAACTCGTCTTTTCCGAAATGAATACAGATAAAGTATCAATTAAGTCTCTCGCGTATATTACATTTCAAAAAAATTTTAAAAACGAATCGCGGACAAGACTGAGAGTGAGTGTCCGTACGATATGGAAACGTTATCTGCACGGTGTTAACCTTTTCAACATTCAAGTAATGTCACACTGCACATAGTAATAAATAGCACGAATAATGATAAATGATAATAAATGATAACGAGCCGCCTAATGATCGTTCCTTGACAAAATAGCCAAACGTGTTTACGGAGCGTCAGTCGTCCAGGGACCTCCTAAATTTCGCCAGTCGATCGAATCCGAGCGCGAAAACAATCGCGAACGACGGCGATTAATAAACGGCAAGGTAAAAGTGCATCTGACATTTGAAGACACTCGCGTGCAGGAACGTTTTCGCCGCGTCCTTGGGTCAACTCGCCGTGCGCGACGTCAGAAATTCAACCTGATCGCGCGAGGTCGTTCGCAATTATCGCTTAAGATACCAATTCATAATGACGCTCGATGCTCATTTTTAGCGTTTAAATAAGCGATCAAAGTTGATGCAAAATAATGAAATTTGAATGGTCACTTTTGATCACGTGATCTATTTTGATTGAAAATGAGCGTCGAACGTCAGCATGAAAAGGCGCTTTACGGTATTAATTGACGCTCGGCATTCATTTTTAGCGCCGAAATAAATCACGTGATCAGTTGACGAAAAAAAGTGAAATTTGAATTTAAACATCTTTGATTACGTAATTTATTTTGAAATGAGTGATCAGCATGAAAAAATGTCCTTCTATATTAACGCTCGACGCTCATTTTCATCGTCAAAATAAATGATGTGATCAAGTGACCATTTAAATTTCTGCATCAACTTTGACCACATGACATTATTTTGACACTAAAAATGAGTATCGAGCGTCAACGTGAATTGATATCTTTATTTTGACGCTAAAAGCGTTTTGAGCGTCGATGAGTGTCAATATAAATTAGAGTATCGACCCTTACGATTACATCGCGCACTTGCGCGAGTTTTTCAATTCATCAGAGACCGGTAACATGTTTTCGACTCTATTCTCTCCGCGCGCACACGTGGGCAAAAACACAAGAACACGGTAAACACAGGATTAGGTAAACAAATATTAAAGCCAGGCACTCTTCCGGAAACTCTGAAAACATTCTCGCTCGAATCTCAGATCGTGAATCTCAGATGATTGACGCGAGAAGCTTTTCTTTCGTTTGCGATACAAGTCCTTCCCGAAAGCATAGTTTTCGTTTTCGTGAAAAAAAAAAAAACGCGAAGAGGACACAGGTTTGTTTTGGTGTCTTGCTCGAAGCGGCAATGCGCGACCAGGAAATCCTGTCAGCGAGACATTATGCTGGCCTTTAATAAAAAAAACGTGAGACAAGTTCGCGTTGAATAGAAAGATCGAGGTACCCTGAATCTTTCTCGGAGACCGATGATGAAGAAAGGCGGCACGATTTTTGCGCTAGTGTTCTCTCTTTCTCTTTTTCCACCGTTAAATTAATCGCGCGCTTAAAAATGCCGAAATAGAAAGTCCGAGCCGTTTGAGGCGCACGTTATCCCAAGCCGTGCTCCCTAAAAGATATTTTCCATCTTATTCGCGGAACGAGCACTCATTCGAGGGATTATTCGAGGGAAATTCGAAGGTGACGATCGTCCTTTTTTTTTTGGATGATTCAAAAATGACATGCGCGATGCCTCCACTTACCGGCTGCGACGGATGGTTGTGCTGCCTGGTGACCGACGTTCCTTGGATGGTCCGCTGTTTTCCACGAAGAACTGTAATCCACCTACTCCGGCATGTGACTCGCCAGTGTGAACGGGAAAAAGTATTTAAGAGCCAGGCGGGATCGACGCGCGCGACGCCGTCTGACGGCGCGCTGCCTACGTCCGCCATCTTGAATTGCCGCTGCCATGTTGCTTGGCCGTGGCGCCACAATGGTCGGCGGGAAAAATCGAATTACGAGTGACACTCGAGAAATCTGAACAGAACCATCGACGAAATGCTATTAACGATTGACGATCTTATGAGAATCGCGTGACGCATAATTGTTAAAATTTTAAACAATTAACCCATAATATAATATTAATTTATTTCCCTGATATTTCTTAGATGAATATATTTACAACTTACTCATATATTTAATTTTATTTAAAACTGTATTTTTATAGTTACTATCTATGTTTGATTATTTACAAAGATGATAACTGTAGAAAAAAAATTATAATTTGGTAGTAATATATATGATATTATAGCAGTATAAGTACATATTTATTTATGAAGCATTTATATCATAAATAATCATAAATTTAATAATTCATTCTCTAAATATTTATGTTAACGATCAAAAAATAATAAATTTATATCAATAGTCGATAATATCGATATCTTTTCAATGAGCTTCAGTTTCCCCAGGCTCCTTTGTTGATCACGAAAATTTGCTCGAGATCTTTAATAATATCTCGAAGAACATTTTCAGCCAGATTAACAATTAAAAATTGTTATTTGGAAAATAAAACAATCACCATATTTAGTTTAAAAATTTTAGAAATTTCTAAAAAATGATACAAAGATAAGCTTTTACAAAAGAGATGATTCAAAGCATTAAATGATACTAAATGATAGTAAATGATAATAAAGTATCAAAATCTTATTAAAAAGATATTAAAATGTTGTATTTTATCTTATTGCGAGATTTCGTATTAAAATAGAAAAAAAAAACATCTCGTTTATTAAAATTATATTAAAATCTCATTAAGAATTCTCGGAAATTTCTCTCTGTAATTACGTAATAAGTCCAGAATTTAGAATCTTCGATTACAGCAGACTCGTGCCACGTTTACTTTCATTATCGTGCCGACCTCAGATGACATTTCCAGGTCCGCGGGAGCTCTGTCGCGAGGAGGAAGGCGCATGCCTTCTCCGTCGGAGCACGCAGAGCGTGGCGACGGCCCTGCTCACCACGACGATACGTTTGACATCCAACATGGCCACCTGATATCTAGCAGACGATACACACAGGTGGCATGGGAGAGCTGTAAATAAAATCCACCCTTTAGATTTAATTATGAGCGAACGTGTGCAGAAGGAGAGTGCCGATGATTCCGATCGCGTCGACGATGCAGTGGACCCGCGGGTGCAGGTGAGTGTGGCCGTCTGCGTGCGCGTCGCCTGGACGGATTTGCGAGGGGGAGGAGGGGCCCCGCGATATTGACACGTTCGTCGTCGGCGAGTCTCGCCGCGATTAAATCACGCGGGTAGAATCGGTGTCGTGCGGTGACGCGTTCGAACGATGAATTTCACCGTGACTACCAATGTGCACGCCAATCCCATTTTTCTTCTCGCGAACGTCTCTTACTTTTCCTTCCTTCCCTCCCCTTTGCCCGCCCGCCCGACTATCCGCCCACGCACGCACACCCGCACGAGTCGTTAAACGTCCCCGATTCTTTATCCTCCCTCTCTCCTTCGCCGGGACAGCCTATTACTACGACAACGCGTGCTAAATTACCCTCGTTGCCCGGTAACTCCGTCTCGACGCGAGAAATTGGAGCACAATGTACGAAGCTTCTTTAATTTATATGTAAATATTGGCAACAAAACAACGGATAAACATGTAAATTGTTTTTGATTTATGTATGATTAAAAATTCCTATGCATTTGAAATGCATTTTACGTCACAGCATTTTAATAATAAGTACTTTTTTCTTTTTTCTTTTTTCTTTTTCCTTTTTCTAGAAAATGACTGATATATAACTATATAATTTCTTTTTTGTAAAATATATGATATTGTTTCAGATTGAGCTTGAAAGATTGAACACAGCTACAGATGATATTAATAAACTAGAAGTTGATTTAGATGTAAGTATTATTAAAACATGACCTTGCACTTGCAATAGTTCCTTGCCTGTTTAGATTTCATATTGTGATATGTATGATG